GTGTAGGGGGGAGGGGAGTGCTGCACTCCATGCCCAGGGGCAGGCAAGACTCCAGGCTGGGTCACCCAGGGGTTTGGGCCATCCATCCCTTGCACGAGCCTGCAGCTGGTGGGGGGAGGGGGAGCGTGGGGCGAGGGGGCCCTGGGGCGTGTGTGTGTGTGAGGACAGAGGGCATCACAGGGGGGCCCCCCCAAGGGAGCATGCACTCACCCTGCCTTATGTGATGTGTTCCCCTGTGTTTCTCTGCACCCTTCTGCTGGTTGTCTGTGCCATCAGTGATGTCCTGCTCCAGAGAGTCATCTGCCTGCACGATGTGGAAGCTACGGTGGCCGGCTTCACTACCCTTGGGTTCCCCAACTGCGGGGGATCCCTGGATGCAATCCACATCACCATCCATGCCCCAGAGCATCAAGCGGCCCATTTCATAAACAGAAAGGGGTGCTTCGCCATCGTACTCCAGGCCCTTGTGGACCACCATGGCAGTTTCCTGGACATTTATGTGGGCTGGTCCGGCAGGGCACACGACCCCTGCATTCTACGAAACTCCGGCCTGTTTGAGAGGCTGGAGGCGGGCACTTACTTCCCCCAGAGGGGATTTACTGTCGAGGATGTGCCAACGCCCACGTGTATTGTGGGGGATGCAGCCTACCCCCTGCTGCCCTGGCTAATGCGGCCCTACACGGGGCAGCCGGACCACAACCGGGCCTGGTTCAATGACCGCCTCAACCGGGCCCGCAACCAAGTAGAGTGCACCTTTGGGGGTCTGAAAGCCCGGTTCCATTGTTTGCTCACCCGTCTGGAGATGGGTGAGCGGAATGTCCCGGAGGTAGTGGCCGCGTGCTGCATGCTCCATAATCTCGTGGAGCGGAGGGGGGAGGCCTTCCTCCCAGCATGGATGGCAGGCGAGGGCTAGGCCTTTGAACAGCCCTGCACAGCTGCCATCCACCAGGCGCACCAGGATGGGGTGCGCATCCGGGAGGCCCTGACGGAGATGTTCTCCCAGGCCCCATAGTAGGGTCGCCTCTGTCTCCCTTGACATCTCCCTACCCTCCCCAAACCTTCCCCCTCCCCTCCCCTCCTCTCCCAATAAACAACCCACACAGTTATTTTTGGAACACAATGTTTGAACTTTTTATTTACAATGGAGAGGGAGGAGATGGAGGGGGGGAGGCTCTTAACTGGGAGTGGGGAGCTACTGCTAGGAGGGGTGGCCCCTGCGATTGCTTCTGCGGGGGCGGACCTGCACATGGGGGTCAGGCCGCATAGGGGCAGGCAGCACAAGGAGGGAGGCAGGAGGGGCAGGGGCAGGCAAACCTTCCCCCTCCCCTCCCCTCCTCTCCCAATAAACAACCCACACAGTTATTTTTGGAACACAATGTTTGAACTTTTTATTTACAATGGAGAGGGAGGAGATGGAGGGGGGGAGGCTCTTAACTGGGAGTGGGGAGCTACTGCTAGGAGGGGTGGCCCCTGCGATTGCTTCTGCGGGGGCAGACCTGCACATGGGGGTCAGGCCGTGTTGGGGCAGGCAGCACAGGGAGGTGGGCAGGAGGGGCAGGAGCGGGCATTGCGAGAGGAGGAGGAGCAGGAGGGGGCATGGGCATTGCTATGGGAGGGATGGCAGGTGCATGGGGCAATGCCATGCCATAAGGAATGGCACGGCCAATGTGCGCGGTGAGGGTGGAGATGGCATCTGCCATGCGCACACACTGGGCCTGGAAGGGACCCCAGGCCTGCTAGCACCACTGCAGGTCCCCCTCCTCCTAGCGCGTGATGGCTGCCTCCACCCGTTCGACGGCCTGCACGTGCCGCCGAAGCAGTTGGTCCCGCTGCTGGACCCGCCGGCTTGGTGCTTGGGCTGTTTTTGGTGCTGCCGCTGCTGCAGGGCTGGAGGGTCTCCCGCTCCTGCTTGGTCCCACTGCAGGGAAGAGAAGAAAGGATGGGTCAGTCAGGCAGCCCGGCCACCGTCCCCACACCTCTTGCCCTCCACCTCTGAGCCCAGGTGACACCACAGTAGTGTGGCTTGGGTCTACTAAGCCCCCCCACCCCCATGTTCTATGTTTGCATACAGGACCACCCTGGAGTAGCGGCCTGTGTCCTGGCCCCTTGGGGCGTTGTTGTGTTAACCTGTGGAACTCCCTTCCAGTGGAGGCTGTGAGGCTTTGCGCTAATCAATGGTGTTTGACAGGGAGCAAGATGAATCCCCACACAGTGCCTTGGAGCACATATGGCAGAGGTGGTCTGGGCCCTCAGATCCCCATCATGTGGGCTGTCTCCTGGACGGAACCAGAACCAGGAGAGTGACTGGGGAGTGTACCATCCTTGCAGCAAAACTGAGGTGGCCCTAGGGCCGGCCCGAGCACTTCCCCCCTCCCCCTAGCCCTCACACATGGTAGCCCAGAGACATGTGTGGCTGCAGTGGGGACTGCCCCCGGGGGTCTAGCCAAGGCACTGGGAGCAGGCGAGGGGCTCGATGGGGGCCACGCTCACAGGGCTGTGACGCTGCAGTTTTCCCAGGAGCAGCTGGCTGTGCCTCACAGACAGGCATGGAACAGTGTGCCGTTCTGTGTGCTGCACCCTTGTGGAGGTGTAGGCTCTGGCCTGAGCCTCTGGGGCCCTGGCTGGTTCCAGCCGGCATCCACCCTTCCCCCCTGGTCCCACCGCATGTGTGTGAGCAGCACGGTCCCAGGCGTGCCCTGGAGCTGCCTGCCGCAGCCACATGCCGCTCGGTCACCAGGCTGCACGTGGTTGCACTGAGTGACATGCTCTCCCCTTCCCCCCTCCGGGCGCCTAACTCCCCCCCACCCTTGAGTGCAACGTGCAATACTCACCTGTGGATCCTTTTCCAGCCTCCGAGGATGCACGGGAGACATTGGGGCTGCCAGAGAGGGTCTCCGCCTGGAGGGTTCCGCTGCTCTCCTGGTCCGCCTCGTCCTCTGACTCACTGGGCAGCTGTGCTTCCTCCTCCACCTCACTGGGCTTGGTGACGGGGGGAGCCTGTAGGTGTCCACTGGAACCGAGGGTCCGTGGGGTGGTGGTGCCTGGCCCAGGATGGCGTGGAGCCATTGGTAGTAGGGGCAGGTGTCAGCTCCTGCCCCCTGGCCCGGACATAGCCCAGGCGCAGCTCTTTTACTTTAGCCCGGACCTGTTCCAGGGTCCGGGCTGGATGACCCTGGTCAGAGAGTGCCTGGACCATGCGGCGGAATATGTCCGCTTTGTGCCGATAGGACCATGGGTCATGGATTGCCTCTTCCTCGACCCAGAAGTCCAGGAGGGTGTTGAGCTCCCCTGCAGACCAGGGTGCGCCTGCCCCTTGGTGCCGCCTGCCCTGGGGTGCGGGTTGTTCCCCCCCGGAGTGGCCATCCTGGGTGGTCTGGTGGCTGTTGCAGGGAGCAGAGCCGTGTGGCAGAGCTCTGGGCAGAGGTGGCAAAGCTGCTTCTGCCTTGTGGCCTCTGCAGGCTGCGTCTGCCTTTAAGGGGGCTTGGGTTACCAGGAAGTCCAGAGCTGCCTGCAGGTACGAAGCATCCAAGTGGCCACAAGGGCTTTTTTCTGTTTAGACTGCTTTTGTGCAAAATGTCTTGGCTGCCTGTCTACACTGGCCTCTTGCGCAAAATGGCTTCTTCCTGAGCAGGAGTATTTGTGCAAGAAGCACTGATTTCATACGTTAGAATGTCAATGTTCTTGAGCAAGAACTCGCAGCCAGTGTAGACAGGCAGGAAGTTTTTGCACAAAAGCGGTCGCTTTTACACAAAATCTTGCCAATGTAGACACAGCCTGATTGTGTTTGTGTTAATAAATCAGAATGCCACACCTTGCATCAGTGTGATTCATGACAGGAGTGGTACAGATCCTGCTAAGACCATGATTATGTGGGCTGTGCAGGTTGCTGAGCAGGTCTGGCTACTATAGAAACAATCAGTGTTCTCACCCTGGGTCTGGGATGCATCTCACTCCCCACCCACTTTTCTGCATTTATCCATAGTCCAGTTATGCAGTCTCTGTGATTTAGAGCATCTCTACACAAACACTTCCTGGTGGCAAGCTCAGCTATATATATATATCTACCTCACTCCAGCAAAATACTTGAGTAGACCTACTGATGCATGACAAAGTTTCTGAGGGCACAGAAACAAACATTTTCTTGCTGCTTTTAGTGAGCACCATCAGAGGTCACATGGCCAATCAGTATATAGCAGGGGTGGGCAAACACCCAATCAGGACCTGGGGGTAGAGGAGCGTGCAAAGTTTCCTCTGCCCTGGCCCTGCCCCTGCCCTGTGAGGAACTTAGAAATGCCACATGCTCTTGGCAGAGCGGGAGAAGACTCTGTGCGCTCCCCTGCCCCCAGACCCTGATTGACCTGGGGGTGGGGGAGGTCTCCTTCCAGCCAGTGGCATGGGCATCTAGGGGAAGGGGGGGGAACAAAGGTGTCCCCCCATCCCCAGACCAATCATAGTCTGGGGGTGGGGAACCCGGAAGTCTCTCAGCCCTGCCCCTTTTGGTATGGCCCAGGGCCACTTTAGAAATTTTTGAAATGGCCCCTGGCAAAAAATTATTGCCCACCCATGGTGTACAGTATGCTACAGCTCTACATCTTAACTTGTTGCACAATTTGTGTAGACACGGCTTGCGAAAATTCTCTCTCCATCTAAACTAGACAAGACTAAGGGAAAGACCTCAGTTTCCTTGTTATTGTGGTTTAAAGTGAGCCTATTAATGTTAGCTGAACGTACTATTATCGGGCCACACAATATTTTGCATTATTTCAGTTAACTAAGCCAGCCACCATTCAAATTTAAATAATATTTTGTAAAATATGTGACTACCCTCTGAAAAAACAGAACTCATTTCATTTAAGAACAGTCTGCTTCTAATATAAAAACACAGGGGATATTGTTTAGAACAGTCTGTTATTCTTAATGTCAACCAGAAGATTAATTTCATTTGACTGAAGCCAGTAGTGAAGTCTACTTTTGATGATCTCAGAAATACTGTAGCCTACCTCCTGGATGTGTTGCTCCAAATGATTGATCAATCTGTTCTATGGTTGGAGCAATTGCCTGAGAGTTAAAATGGACACCGCTGAAAAAAAAAAGAAAGCCACTGAATCATTATTAAGGAGCAGGCTATTGGTTAGAATTCATTAGTTAAACTCATTGATACACAAAATTAAGAATGCACAGACAACTCATTTTTCAAAGGAAAATTATATTTATCTCACATAGCAATCCAATATCAGAGAAAACACCTTGGCTACATCTAGACTGGCATGATTTTCCACAAATGCTTTTAACGGAAAAGTTTTCCGTTAAAAGCATTTGCGGAAAAGAACGTCTAGATTGGCATGGATGCTTTTCCGCAAAAGCACTTTTTGCAGAAAAGCGTCCATGCCAATCTAGACGTGCTTTTGTGCAAAAAAGCCCCGATCGCCATTTTCGCGATTGGAGCTTTTTTGTGCAAAACAAATCTGAGCTGTCTACACTGGCCCTTTTGCGCAAAAGGACTTTTGCCCCAACGGGAGCAGCATAGTATTTCCACAAGAAGCACTGATTTCTTACATGAGATCATCAGTGTTCTTGCGGAAATTCAAGCGGCCAGTGTAGACAGCTGGCAAGTTTTTCCGCAAAAGCACCTGCTTTTGCGGAAAAACTTGCCAGTCTAGCCACAGCCCTTATGTTTTTATGAGGTAAGCAGAATTAAAAATACTGTGCAGTCATTCTGTTGCTTCGGTCATCCAAGCTCACTGCATATGCCAGAGGCTCCTTACAAAAGATTCTCGAGCCACCCTCCCATTTCCTTCTATTTTAGAAGGCTCCCTGCAACCCCATACCCTCTCCCTCATGTCAGATGATGTACATGCCTTCCCCTCTCTACATCTCAGTTTTACTTTGAACCCTTTCCCTCTCCCCATTTCTATTATTTTCTTTTCTTTCTTTCTCAGGGTGTCAACATTTGTAAACAGCATGGGAAGATGGGCAGAGCTAAGATGAGGGATTCTATTCAAATTTTGCTGTAATTTTGGGATTGATTGGATGTGATACTTGAAAAATGTAAATGACCTGTAGCATTTTAGAGACTAAAAAAAAACATTTTTATGTTAATCTCTAAGGGCACATCTACACAGCAGAGCTAAAGCAAAATTAAGTACACAATTTGAGCTACGTCAAATGCATTCCTTAAATCGAAATAGCTTATTTTGGCTTTTGGCACTGTCTACACAGCAGGAAGTCTGAGAAATATGACTCTTTCCTTACTCCTCATAAAACGAGGATTACAGAAGTTAGAGTAAGAAGTCCTCCAGCTCGACATTATTTTGACATTATGTCGAAGTAACTGCTTGTAGCGTAGACGCAGATTATGTTATTTTAGAATAACATCAGTTATTCCAAAATAACACTGTTGTGTAGTCGTAACCTCAGGTGCTACAGGACCACTCGTTTTTTAAGTTTTTTTAAGTTACAGAACAACATGGCTACCCCTCTGAGACTATGTTCAAAAATTAGTGGTACATCTAAATAGAAATGTCATCAAGTAGAGTTTTTGGCCTCACAAGCGTAATCAAAAACTATGTAACTTTTTGGGGGGAGGGGGGCAGGAAGGGGGAAAAGGGGGGTAAAGGAAGGGAAATAATACATAAAGCCAAATTCTGCTGTTAGTTACTTCTTCCTAACTCTACTAACATCAGTGGAGTTACTCTGGGTTTTTCCTATGAAAGCTCATTATACTATATATTTTTCATAGAATAATAGGGTTGGTTGAGATTGTTACAAGAAAGAAAAAAGAATGGCATTACTGAAAGTTTATATAACAAAGGGTACGTCTACACTAGCCCCCTAGTTCAATCTAGGGAGGCTAATGAGGGCGACCAAAATTGCAAATGAAGCACGGGATTTAAATATCCCGCGCTTCATTAGCACGCTCCAGGCCAGTCGCCATTTTAGAAATTGACTAGCCCGAAGTAACTGCCCGCATCTACACGTGGCAGCGACCTGGTAGTTCGAAATAAAGCCCTAGTTCGAACTACCTGTTATTCCTCCTGGAATGAGGTTTAACAGGTAGTTCAATTTAGGGCTTTATTTCGACAGTTACTTCGGGCTAGTCAATTTCTAAAATGGCAACCAGCCGGGAACATGCTAATGAAGCATGGGATATTTAAAAGATGTACTCTTGATTTAATCAAAGAACTTCTGCTTTCAACTTGCATAAACCATTCCAATACTTTCACAAGGATCAATTTTTCATAACAACTCACCCTTGATAATTACGGGTTGTAGGCTCTGTTGTATGTAGTGGTGACATGCTGTTCAGTTTATTTTACCTAATTAACATTTCCTGCAATCACATTTACACTTGCAAAACAATCAGTAACTAGAACAGACAAGATCAAAAAATTATGGCAACTGGAAAAAAGCCAGATTCCAGAAAAATGGGAGTCTTTGAAAGTCATTAACCCAAGCCCTGTATACCATCCACTTAGTACATATCTAAATGACCCACATAACGTAAGCCTTTGTGAAACATGAAACCTCAGTTGTACTACATAAGCCTTCCTCTCTCTCCCTGATCTGATGTTATCATCTATCCCTAGATTTTAAGGGTTCTGGAGGATCAGATTGAAAGTTAATTCTATTTGTAAAGGTCTATGCTTAAATTTGGCGCTACATATACATATTTAATGACACCAGACATTTAGAGCAGAAACACGTGATTGGTAATCTACACAGGAAATAGGCATAGGAATTTTTTTTTTACTATTAGAATATCATGCATGCATCATGCCTAGTAATCTTAAACATTTAGGAGCTTCAGGGGGTAGCCGAGTTAGTCTGTTACAGAAAAAAACAACAAGCAAATGGTCTGGAAGCACTTTATAGACTAACAAAACATGTAGATGGTATCATGAGCTTTCGTGGGCACAGCCCACTTCTTCAGATGTGGTCCAGTCATCTGAAGAAGTGGTCTGTGCCCACGAAAGCTCATGATACCATCGACATGTTTTGTTAGTCTATAAAGTGCTACCAGACCATTTGCTTGCTGTTTTTTTCTTAAACATTTAGACTCTTATTCAAAACATACCCAGAATTCATTTCTGTTGAGGACATGTTCTATAACTTTATATACTATGAAAATATTGTTTATAATTTTACTTCAAATAATTAACTTCTGATGAAAAATTATTCAATTATTTTCCTGAAGAAAAGTTAATGAGATAAAAAAAATTCAGTGAAGTCCAATAATTACGACTGGAGTGAAAAAGAGGTGGTAACTAATAAGTTGTGTGTGATCCTATGGTACATAGCAATCTTCAAATCACTTACCAATATTTTAACTTCACTTTAGTCAAGTCATAAACTTCAATCACCTGAAAGACAGCAAATAGGAAAAAGATTGTAGTTTCACAGGAGTTTGAAGTAGGGATGTTAGAAATTGTTTATTTTAATAATTGTGTAACTGCAACAAATTCTTAGTGGTTACTCAGTACTTCCCCTTGGGGCAGGGCCAGCAGCCAGGACGCTCCTGGCACCTGGTCCCACTGCCACCCTGCACTGCTGATTCTCTATCAGAGAGGTTTAAAAAAGTGGCTCCCTTTGCAGAAAGGCTCCTGCCTGCCGTCCCATGCTGCTGCCTCGCTCCCCTAAGTGCTCTTCATTTAAAATTCAGACGGGCAGGCTGGGACTGAGCCAGCCGGATGGTCCGGGTTTGAAATGCAGAGCACTCAGGGTGGAGGAGGGATGTTGCGGTTAATCAAGTAGTTGTTAACACCCCTAGTTTGAAATAGAATATTTATGGCCGACTACTGACCAAAGTTATTACTATCAAGTTCTCCTTCTGAAATGGAAACCTATTTGGTTTTAATAGCACCAAGAGAGATTAGAGAGAAAGGCGAGAGAGGTAATACAGGCAGTCCCCAGGTTACGTACAAGATAGGGACTGTAGGTTTGTTCTTAAGTTGAATCTGTATGTAAGTCGGAACTGGCATCCAGATTCAGCCGCTGCTGAAACTGATCAGTTTCAACAGCGGCTGAATC